CCTTTTGCATGTGAACACTTGCACCTGGAGGGGCGTTGTGCAGACTGGATAGCAGACATATTACAGCTAGCTTCAAACTAGCTAGCACAGGTACTGCTAGGAGAGTAATCACAACTGCGTGGCTGCAAAACCCAGCCAAGAAGCTGGGTAAATTCTTAGCTACTGAGCCTTTGAGCTACTGCAGCTATGCTGGGGACAGTATCTTAGTTAGCTAGCTTAAAGCAATAAGTATGTTTTCGTGAAATGTAGTGAAGATGTTCCCAAGGCTGATCTACTGCTGAAATGATGTCAGTTATGCATGCAAAATGACTGAGTCTCTGAAGGCCTGACTGGATGTAGCAAAACAATAAAACAGACACAGAAAACTGTATGGTGCATAAAGTAAACAGAGACAGAGAGAAACTTTTCTTCTCACCAGCTCTTTCATTACAGCCCTGGGGGAAGAGTACGTTTATGTATTATATTCTGAGGAGAGCAATGTTGAAGCCAATGTTGCCCCTTCAAACTATCCAAGGGCTGAATTATTTTAACCACATTGTCAGACTCTCCACCATTCCTTTTACATACCTTTTCCAGGGACATTTTGGCAGGGGATCTCAGCCTGCTGCCGGGCTAGTTACCTGTCATTGTTTTGCAGACACTCCCTTCACCCCACTCCAACCTCACAATGAGCACTGCCATTTTTATTATTATTTGTTTTACAGTAGCATCTAACAGCCACAGTCAGGGTTCATGGTCTGATTGTGCTGGATGCTGTACAAAATCAAAACAAAACCACAGTCCTGGCCTTACTCCAGCTCCGTGTCTGCTGAAAATGTACCAGGAGTGAGACAGACAGAAGTCTCATTGGATCTACTTGTTCATGAGATCAGGAAGACTGATATAGTGGGACTGTGCTCTAGGACCAGAACTGAGGAAGGCTGTCAGGACTCCTGGGATCTGCTCTTGGATCTGTGGGGGAACGTGCTCTGGAGTTACAGCAAACATGACAGAGACGGTGGTTGGTAATGTTTTTCTGGCAGTGGGCTGGATTGACCCAGCTTGGGTCCAAGGCAGGACAGTGCTGTGACCCGGCCATCACTGCCAATTCTCCCCATGCCCCAACCACAACGCTGCATGGGCAAAGCTGCTAGCCATCCAGCCACAGCGTAGCATGGCATGGCTGAAACCCCCCTGCTCTGCAGAACATATCCAATGTCTGTGTGGGCTGTATCCAGCTGCCAGGCTGTCTGTTGATGAGCTTCAATCTTGGTGATTCTGTCCTGCCTCCAAGAAGGGCAAGGCAGGTACTGACATTGGCTAATCTCGGCCAGGTGGTACAGAAGGGGGAAGGATAAGCAAGACATCTCACATACAGCCCAGCCGGTAGCTGGTGAGGCTGATCAGCAGGCTTCCCACCAAAGACTGTATGGTTACCATAATCTCCTGTTCGCTCTGAGCACATGGGCAAGGGGTCAACAACATACTGAGTCAAAGGCACCACAACACCAATCCCCTCCCACTTACAGGATTTCAGTGACACAAAGTATTCCGCTTGGGGCAAAGCCATTGCAGACTGCACACTGAGCTGCAGTAATCAGCACCCTAGGGCTGACAGAAAGAGGAGGCTGCGTATTGCAACAATCCACATACTGGGGTCCTGTGTGCAGTAAGTTGGTATAGGGCTAGTCTCAGTCCACCCCTTCCTTCGGGCCCCTTGGTGGCTGGCTGACTGAGCCAACGAACAGTCATCTGGGGTTCAGCCTCCCTCTTCTCCCCACTTAGTGGAGGGTTTCAGCAGGGTTGAGGCACATTAACAGGGGGCTAAGGAAGGGGAAACATGCAATTCAGCTCCCCAGGCCACCCCTCCACAGGGCTGGGACCCAGACATCCCTCCCCTGCCACAGCCTAGTAAGGGTTTCTAAGGGTCTGTCTGGGCCAGTGAGTCATGCTGTGCACTCAGGAGACAACGATTTGACTGTAGATATAAACAGCTGGAGGGCAGCTCAGGCATGTGTGCTTGCCACAGATGGAATCCATTTCACAATACCTGACCTAATTTTCTGGTGCTAATTAAGGCAATGGGAGAGCTGCCCAGTTCATTCAGCGTAGTGAGTCGGGGCCCTCCAGTCTCAGCACAGCTCCAGGCTCTGCTCAGTGCGGCTCAGCTTTCCTCCTCTACTTACCTGGCAAGGAAGGATTGATCTTTGCCTTCCAAAGCCTTGAGCAGCCTCCTCAACAGAGCTCAGCAGCCGATATCTCCTGTTTCCTAAAGACAGTGTGCCACAGAGGGGAAATTCTGCCTCAGCGGGAGCCCCCATGTCATGTTTCAGAGACTTTTACTAATAAAGTGATTCAGAGCTGGGGTGGGACACGTTCTGGGATAGGGCTTTGGGGCATTGTGCACGGACCTGCAATAATCAGCACCATAGGGCTCCCAGAAAGAGGAGGCCTTTTGCCTCTAGGGCACTGGTCCTGCTCAGCCCATCTTGGGAGTGGCAACAGATTTGTCCTCTGTCTTGGTGCAGGAAATAATCTGGGAGTCTCATGAGGTATCCCTGTCTCTGGTGACACTTGATGGCAACCTCAGTAGAGGTGCCAAGAACTGAATGGGCTCTAGAGCCTGAGCTCCTTTGGTGCCAATCAGTACTATGGCATGGAGAGCAGAACAGTACATGGAAAGCTTGGATTCCTGGTGCCAGGTTTGTTGGAGGAGAGGAAATGAGAGAGACGCCAGGGGGCTTAAGGCTTCTCTGCTTATTGAGTAAAAGATCTTTCCCTTATAACTCTGCCTGCCTATTGTGTTGTTTGGTACTAATGGCCTGTGGGCTGCATTCCTGGGGTAAACAGAGGGGGGTATTTTTGTTGGCAGAATGATCGAGCAGGCCTATATTACACACACACATTCTGAGGAGAAAAACCTCAAAGCAATAGGGGTCCCATGGTCTAGGCCAGTGCTTTTCAGCCTGTTTTTATTTTCAGACCCCTACATATTAGATAGTGTCTTTTTTCACCTTGAATTACTACACTGTTGAATCTCCCTTACTCACCTTTGGCTTTTTTCCACCCCCTCCCTTCCCTGCTTTACCTTTTGTTTTCCTAATTTATACCCATTTACGTTCTCATTGACATCCTGTCTCACTTTTAGCTTCTCTCATTCCTTGGAGTCTCAGCACAGCAGAGACTCCCTTCTGCCTGAAGAAGGGTGACTGCACCTAAAAGCTTGCTAAAAACTTTTTTCCAACTACTCAGTTGGTCTAATAAAAGATATATCTTCTCAAAGAGCCTTGCCTACCTAAAAAATCAGAATGGAGGAATGGATGCCTTTGGAAATTTTGAATGGAGGTACAGATGCCTTTGAATTGGATATTCACTTTTAATTGATCATAGTAATCTTTTGTGGACTCTTTAGACATAGTCTGCAAAACCCCAGGGGTCCACAGACCACAGGTTGAAAATCCCCGATCTAGGCTGAAAAACTGGGAGGAGCTGTTCAGCTGGAAATGGCTCAGGTCATCCCTTGTAGATTGCTGTAGATATTTATACAAGGGTGGACAGAAGTGGTCCAGGGCTGTGAAGGAGAATGGATCCATAAGGAGCTTCTGCTTTCTATTGGGTACGGCTCAGCCTTTGCAAAGCATGGGAGAGCAGTCCTGTGGATATGAAACAGTGCTCAAAGCAGCAAACCCCAAGGGTACTACATGGCCCAACTTTATGAAAAGTCAGTGGTGCTCAAGGTGCTCAGCACCAGACTGGCAAGAATGGTGAGTGACGGAAAGTCTAGTCATAGGAACGCTTCAGCAAGGAGCCACATCCCTGCTTGTCTCCCAAGTTCAAAACCAGCACCGAGCAGAAGCAATAAACGATTCTAAAGGCAGAAAGAAAAGTGTGGGAAAAGTAGTTAGTTCCAGGGACTGACTGGGCCTGTTCACCAGCAAAGCCTGCAGGGCAGGGATGCAACGCTTGGATGGGACAGTCTGCAAACAGCTTACTTTTTGCAAAAAGCCTGTCTTCTGCTGCTCTGGGGCAAAGGGCTGGAGAATCATTAATCCAGCATCTCAGCCACAGGTGAATTCACATGCCGACAGAAACAAGGCTGCCAGCACAGAGCTGAGTAGTGCAGTGCAGTACGATTACTCACGCATGTTTATTAGAGAAGCGCTCTTCCAGACCTGGGGAACAGCAGAGCTTCATTTCACTGATCTGCAGGCCAGGTGAGATCCAACTACTGGCATTTTTTGCAACCAGGACAGGGACGCAGATCTAAGTCAGCAATCCTGGCTGTTCCAAAATCATGAGTTGGGTTCCCCAAGATCACATAAGTGGACAAAAATCATGAGACAAAAAAAATGTTAGCCTCTCTCATTGCCTTACACCTTTGGAGCCTCTCTGTTACTCTCACATCTTTCAATATTTTCCTCACGGTTATGAAAGCTAGAGTGTAATTTTCAGATGACTCCAGGAGCTGGAGCTTTAATGAAAACACCAAATATCATGCAACTAGCAACAACATTGTAAGATTTATCAACAACTACTAAGTCTGCTACTGACAACGTGCCTATTAATGTAGAATGGCATTCAGATAGCAACACCAGAAAGAGCTTTCTTTGCTTAAGGCTCCCAATGCTTTGCACAAGCAAGTGAGAACCATTCTCTCCATGATGTGGGGTCAGGGGAGGCATGAGGCAGAGAGGATCAGCAACTCAGCTAATATCATACATCAAGTCAGCAGTAGAGCTCAGGGCTTGAATCCAGGTTTTATGGCCTATCCCTTGGTTCATGCTGTTTAGTACCATGACATTAGCTCAGGGAAAGAACTAGACAATCTCTTGAGGTTCCTTTCAGCCCTGTTTGTAGGATTTTCTCTTCTCTCAGGATCTCAACCTCTGGGTTCAAAGAAGCTCGCTCAGGCTGCATCTTAGCCCTGTGCTCTCTTGGATCACATGAATGTAAAGCTCCCTTATGCACAGGACAGAGCTAGAGAATGAAGAACTGATTCAGCCAATCTTTTTATTTCCCAGCTAAAAGCCCAGATGCAGGGTAGCTCTGAGGAGCTGAGGTGTTTGCAGCTTATCAACAGACTGCAGGAGATATCTGACTTGGAGGATCTGATTGGTAACCAGTCCTGCCTCAAGCTGGCCAGCAGCATCCAATCCTACGTGACCATGGTGAGTCCATGAGGGATCCAGGGGATCAGCAAGGGAGCGCTCTGACCCCAGAGCAGCACAAAAGGTGACATCCTAAAGGGTGACATCCTAGCAACAGGTTTTGGACAGGCCAGTCTCCACATGCTACCAATTCTAATCTGTTCCCTGATTAAGAGG